CAGTAATCGCGACAGTAATCGCGACTGTGATGAGAGGATCAGCTGTTAAAGAGTTGTCTATGAAATGAACTGTTCTCGAAATAACCTGTCTATTAAACGAACTGTCTGTAAATTGTCTTTGTAATAACCTTGTGTATGAATTGATTTCTACGAAATGAGATGTCTGTGAAATGATTTCTATAAAGTGATACGTAACCAAATTTAAGCATGCGAACATTTACTTTCATTTAATTCTTGTTGTATTTATATCGACATAAGTTTTTTAAGAATCAAACTTATTTAAAATATTCATATCTGTATTACTCTGTCATCTGTTGATCTGTTCGCTTATTTACGTGGGCAATCAAATTACTAAAATATTGTTCGAATTTTGATTTTTTCAGATTTAGAGATTAACATAATTTAGTAGTAACATAGCAGATTTCAGAAAATCTTATCTTAAAGTATTACAGTATATAAGGAACGGCTTTTTGTTTTAGCAAAAAAAAAAAGAAAGCTTCTTGTCTAACACTTGCCTGTTGATTTAATTATTGCAATGACAAACCTTTTTTGTGAAAGCTTAGTTTTTTTTAGATATAACTAACCCCTTTGTATTTCAATAGACTTTGTATCTATGATATATACATTCATCGAGGATAATTAAGGTTTTATATCAGTTTAGATAAATATCTAAACTGATATAAAACGAAATAAACAGTCTACGAACGAACTGTCTTCAATTGTCTAAAATAAACTTGTCTATGAAATGAGGTATCTGTGAAATGATTTTCTATAGTAACCCTTAAATTTTATTATCGTTATCTAAACCGAATTAAGCTTGATTGGCTGTGTAATAAAATTTGTGTTATCTCTATCGCTATCATCAGAATATTAATTGAATATAATGTTCGATAATCAATTCGGTGTATTCGGATATTCGTTTTCATCAAACCAGACGCCTCTAAGCGAAAATCAAATTTGTTTAGTTTACACTTTTGTTTCACACATTATGTATAGTAATAGAATTGTAAATTTTCTAGGAAATGATGAACGAGAATGAACTAAATTTAAAATAATGCTTTTAAAAATGAAGATGCTAGAAGATACTACAATATTAACTTTTTCTTTCCTTTTTTTTTTAGTAAATCATAAATATATATTACCTAATTCATATATATATTAGGTAATAGTTAAATGAAAAGCCATATCGATATGTGGATTGTTCGCATAAATTCACACCATGGACTTGAAAGATCTCTGGAACGCAGAGACAGTACCGAGTTAGATGTTTAATATGTACCAAAAAAGTAATGTAAATTAAAAACGCCAGCAGTTATGTTATGAAAAACTTTAAATGGATTATTATCAACGATCAAAATCCAACCAACAACAATCAGTAAAATCATCCAATAATTTGATTGCAGTTTAATAATTTTAATAATGTATACAGTATAATCAATTGTTAAAATAAAATTAACGATTATTGTCATACGTACGTACGATTGAACGAAAATCGTATCCATGTCCAAAGCTTTTTTTGTATGCACAGGTATGTCCAAGAAATTAGCATTCTAAATATGGATATTTAGAGTGTCCAAATAAGTTATAATACAACTTTTTTGATTATTCTTTTATCAAAATGTCAATGTTCAAAAACGAATCTCATCGATCGTGCACATGATACATGCACACACATCTTTAGAGTGTCCACTATTTTTAACATTTAAAATAGCACTAATGATATCATACGATAATTTTATTCTATAAACATATGTAATATTACTATATAGTGCTAGGAATAACTAGACACTCTGCAAGATGGTTTAAAGTGTGATCTCGTGAACCAAACAATCTTACTTGCAGAAATCATTGTGAAATTCAATTACAGCATTGTCGTGAATCTAAATCATCTGATTGTTTTTTTCTTTGAAAAATTAGGATTAAAAAAAAAGATTTTTCTTATGTTTCCTGATCTTTACAATTTTGATAGTTCTGCGAGATGTTGAAAGAATAAAAATCTTATATCAGAATGAAATATTAGGCTGTTCTATTCGCGGAAAACTTAAATATGATTACATATCTATACACAACTAATCCATTCATATCTATTCATATCTATCCAAAATCGTAAATCAATGCTCAAAGGTCAACAAACGAGACCCCAAATAAGGAATGTCCAATATGCTTGTTAACAATGAGGTTCTTTCGAAAAAATTTTGGATAAAAATATTTTTATTTTATACAAAAGAAAATTTTTTTTTCTTTTACAATAGATATTTCTTCTATCGTGTTTGCTGTTTATAGTTTTTTTTGTACTATTTTGAAAACTAACCTTACAAAGTTACTGTTAGAAATGCAAGGTCCGTAGATGTATATATCATTGCATATAAGTTAAAGTATACATGTTATTGTATGATCTCTGTAAATAACAAGATTCTAAAAATAAGAAAAATATAATGTCTGAAAAGGGATATAAAGGGTGTCATTATCCTCTTCAAACAAAATTCTTCATTATCGATCTGGTTTTTTTTCGATAATTCGTCATTTTACATTATCCTTTATTGTAAATAGTCTTTATCATTTACATATTAATATGATAAAATTTATTTCTTTGCCCATTTTGTTCCTTCTTATTTCCACGGCTATTGTCTCGGTCATGTCTGAAGACTCATTAATAGCACGGACAAATATAGAACCATGCAACGATAAACCTTCTCTTTTGAAGAGAACTTATGACAAAAAATGTCCTTGTGTTCTTGCCACTTCTAACTTTAATGGTAAAGTTAAAGGTCTCGTCGTTTACTCCCAGGATGAATGTGGTGCCACTACCGTCGTCGGTATTTTCAAGAGTGGTTTTAAAAAAGGTCACAGATATGATTTTCTAATCACTGATGACTGTGGAAACCCAATTCGTAATATGACTGCGGACCTACATGTTAACTTTGTTAACGGCGGTACCGCTCCGTTTCATGCCAAACTTCTTGATGTTAGTCTTAACTGTGACAAGTATGGTATCTTACGTGCTCACACTTCCAAACCCAAACCACCTGCTGACTACAATTCTACTGTTCCTTATAAACGTAATAATGATCCCTGCTCTTCTAAATTTCGAAAACGTGATTGGGGTGCCGAAACCAAAGTTTATGAAGATGGTAGATCATATGACCAAGCTCAGATTCAAACGATTTAATTATTTCCATTTACTTTTATTCTATTTTTTTTTTTTTTTTTTTTTTTAATTTTATTATAAAATATTGTGCTTTGTCTTTGGTATTCTAATAATTATTTAAAAAAAAAAAAGGACATCTCAATTAATCACAAACCATCAATTAATCTCTCGCAAAAGTGTTGGCTGGTCTTTTAAAAAATATATATATATAATTTTTGTTAAATGTTTCATAAATAAAATATACTTCATTTCTTAAAAATCCTAAGATATTGTTTTTCAATTTGTTATACAAAGTTCGAGAATTTCCAGAAAAAATATATATATTTAATTTATGATAATTAAAATTTTGAGTTCTTTGTTTCCGATTCACCCCCTTTCTTATCGGGTTATGGCCAATTTTGCATTAGCTTCAAAATAAAATTTTCAATATGTTGTGTCTCGCAAACGACAAATCTTGTTCGTTCTTACAAACTTTAAGGATAAATGATAAATTGTTAATTTCCTCTTTTGAATTCGGGTTTTTTTCATGCATGCATTACAAAATGTATATATTATGTCGGCAATATCTTGCACATATCGTTTTCAAGAACGCGTTAATTTTTACTGTCATCTGTCATTCAACAAATATATATATATATACCTTTCTGTTTTTAGACATAATTTTCACGCTCAAGCTTTTTTAAGCACATAATACGTATTCAATGCTTGATATATTGATTATTAATTCAAAATATATATCATTAATTAATTATCTCTTTTTTTATGCATAATTTGGTTAAATTAGAGTTAATGTAATTACGTAGCATATCGATATGTAACTATATATCTATATATGTGAAAGTCGTTATGCTCAGTTATAAACTAAAGGAGTTTGGGTCGGCTACTCTATACTAATATTAATTGATTTTTAATTCGTCAAATAATACCTGATACAGTATATAACGAGAAGTTATATTTATAAATTTAGTACATAATAAAGCGTGTGAAAATACCATATATTTGATATTTATATTTATTAATATACGTACAGTACAATTCACTACGTATACGTACAAATGTGTAGATATACATATATATATATATATATATTTTTTATAAAAACATTGGTTAAAAGTAAACATTATATTGATATATATACTTTTTAAATATAGCTTTGAGAGAAAGCTTAATAAAAAAATTTTCGTAGCGAAAACTTAAGAAGTAATATTCTAGATTACATGATTTATTTTTAACAATATTGAACGTCACGCTGTTTCTATTTTTATTTAGATCTGGAAGTGCTATTTTTTAGTCCGTACTTTTTATAAACGCAGTATTAGGGGTTACGGATACTGTATTATGTAATATGGGTAAAATAATAGGCATGCCCCAATTTAGCCACATGGTAAACTATTAACCAATCAAAATTGCTCAAAATATAATACTAAAAATCTATAACCAATCAATCACTGTCGCAGATGATCATGAAATCAGATGATGGTGAAATTTGGGGTCTCCTTTTGAAAATATAAATCTACTTATACTCTTTTCTAAGCAACTCTAACCTTAAATTCTAACCTATCACTAAAAAAAAAAAAAACCAGGAAAATACACCTTAAAAAATTCTAAAATTTCATATTAAATTAGGTCCAAATTTCACATCATCCGATTTTCATGACAATAAATATCCAGGTGGTTGGTTTTAACAGGATCAGATTATATCTCGAAGATTCAATTCTTTCAGAGATTGTTTTTACAAAGTGCATCGATTAATTCATTTCATTCTTCTGATCTGAGTTCATAATATAAGACTCAAAAAAGCTGAAAAGGATCGTGGTGGTTATGCTAGGTTCATGTTGATTTTGACTATTCAAACTCAAACATGTTTGGCAAACTTCAAATCAAATTCGAGCAAAACTTATAATTGTGTTTGAGTTTGGTATTACAAGTTTGAGTTTGAGTTTGGGTTTGAAATCAGCAAAATTTGCTGTTTGAGTTTGATTTTAGTTTAAGTTTGATCAAACCCGAACCAAACCCGAATCAACCTTCGGAGCCCTAAGTCATACCTCTATACAATTACCTTCTCTATAATTACATCATATAAAAAACTCTCTTTATCACATTCTGTACCTAAGGCCAAATTGCTATTAAACTTATAAAAAACTATCTCTATATAAGCACAAAGCATATTTTTTAAACAATTCATAAGTAAAAAAATATGTATTAGAATGGTTGTATTATATACAGTATTGAAATTTTATAAAAAAAGTACTTAGCAATGAAAAATAAAAATATGTACTGATTAATTGATCAATTGCTACCTTTTCTTTCTTATTTTGTGCCAGACTTTCAGTGAGTAAATTAAACGAATTACTGCAATTGTTTAGTTGAAATAACATATTATTCTAAAATTAAAACATTATAGTGTTTTATTGTTTTGTCTTCGTTATTAAGTATTTCAATATAGTGCATAAGTTAAACTCTTCACAAATATGAACTGCGCCACAAACAGACAAAATTTTTAATATATAGACTAGATGTAAACCCGTCATTAAATTATGGAGTTACCCAAATTTCCAATTATTCAGTGTTAGGATAAAAGTTCATATTATAGAATCATTCTAATAGCTCATCATGATTAGTGCTAGGGTGATAAAGTTCGTATTATGAAATCATTCTAACAGCTCTTAATGATTAACGTTAGGGTGAGAAAGCTCGCATCATAAAATCACTCTAATAGCTCTTTATAGTTAATGTTAGAATGAGAAAGTTCGTATTCTAACGGCTCTTTAGGTATTTTGATTAGAATGGTTATATTATATACTAAAATTTCATGAATAATTTTTTTTTTTTGCCAATATGCAGGATCTAAAAACTCCATACCTAATTTATTGGTTTTCTTTTAATAATATATCCATTTCGCATGTGCAATATGAATTGTTCAATAAGGCACTAAAAATAATCTTTGTAATAATCTTTAATTCAGCGATGAAATAGAAATATGCACAGATAATATTTATGAAATAAAAAAAATTTTGTCGTTTTATTTGATGCTGGACTTTCAGTGTTGAAATAGCGCATGTTATTGTAAAGAATTCAAATACTATAATATTTTGCTTTGTCTTCGTTATTATATTCATGATATGCATTTCAATATGATGCATAAATTAAACTCCTCTCGAACATGATGCAGAACAAATACTGTATAAAAGAACTTCGCTACAGACAACATGAAGATCAAAATCTGTAACTAGGGGTCGGGTTTATTTAAACCCGACCGATCATCTTTATGTATAATTAATATAATAATTTACAATAAGTAGTTGCGCGATATTGTCGCTAAACCAGGAACAGATAAATTAGAAAATGTTGGATGACTCCAACACAGAATATATAGTTATATATAGTTTTGAATTCAGATAAATAAACATCACTATATACAGCATAACTATATTGATATGGGACGCAAATAAGAGATTTCATTTTAAGATGTATATAGTATAGAGTGTAACCGTGCCAATCTACTATAATTTTCTAATGCTGACACTAATAATACATAACGCCGGAACAGAAATTAAAAATAGGGGCATGCGGGTATTTCACACCCCATACGTACTGTACGGATTTGGTTATATCTAATCTGCATAATCTAGAAATGTTCTTAACAGATAGTATACAGTCTAATGTGAATAAAAAGCTAAATGAGGCGTGAACAGCTCATATAAACGCTTAGACCAATTAGACCAATAAATAATTGCTAAACTTAGAGGCAAGGATGCTCCCAATGTGATTAGCTAGCCACTGAGATAGTGCATAAGTACTACGATTAATTGAAGCGATTCTTACTATAATGAAGATTTATAACGCGAATGCTGGAATGCGGATAATAAATTTAGTCAACCAGAACAAGTCTAACAAAAAAAGGTGGTTACAGTTAAAATTTCCACCAATTAAACATTGAGTTCAGACCTATTAATTTATGTGTTTGAGAGAACCTTAAGTCAATATGAATAAAAATTTAACCGAGAAATTAATAAATAAATTGATTGATTGATAATGCTCAATTGATTAAATAAGAAAAGGTTCTGAAGATACTTAATTGAAATATCATGTGAAAACCTGATATATGACGAAGAGTTTTTTGTAGGCCAATTTCAGCCTATTAAAGATTTTTAGAGCTATTTAACACTTGTATGGCTTTTTTAAATACTACATTGCTTAAAATTATGCAATGCTACTGCAGTACTGTATCGGTATTATCCGCCAGCTTGAGCCATGACTCTAGCCACGACACAAGTGGCTTCAATAACTATGGCTTAGCAGCTGACGCTGAGCTATAGTTAAGCTGCAACTCCAAGCTATAGTTTGAGCTGCAATTCATCGGCCTTGGTCGTATTGGCTCCATTATGCAGCTAAAACCGGCTTCAGATAAGTCGTTAACAGCTCTGGAGACAGTTGACAACAAATTCATATTTGATTAGTGTAATTCCGAAGGTCAATAATAATAAAAAATATACCCATTTTTATAAATTATCGACATTCACTTTAATTGAGAAAAACCTATAAAGCGATAAAAAATAAAAATAGGCAGACAAACCTCATACTATATATAAATATAGTGCTATGTGATGCCATATCGGAATTATCATAGTTAATTTGTATTAGTTA